GGCCGAGGGCGCTCGCCGCCGCTCCTGACCGCCCCCTTTTCCTCCTCTTGCAAACGCGGTTCCCCACGCAGACTTTGCCCTCGCCGTATCGGTGAGTTGTGCAGCAACCCCTGTGAGGACCTGTGTACAGAGACATACATTTTTTTACAAGGGGTTTTTACAAAGGTAAAAGAGTGATTGCTCAGGTGGCCTGTCTGGAAGAACCTTATGCGCCAAGGCTCACCAGAGAAGGGTGCGTGGACAGCGCTAAGCACTTCAGAGTCGGCAGTGTTCAACTTCACCTTTTTAAAGTAACTTTGGAATGTTTAATGTGTCACAGGGCAACGTGTAGGGTGCCAGAAAGCTGAGGCAGCAGGACACCCGGGCAAGGAACCTCAATTCTGGGACCGCCTCAGCACATAAACAAGAGGGCTGGAGAAGGTTCTTTTGCTATCCACACCCCCAACTCCACCTCTTTTTGTTTTTTAAAACAACCATTCCTGGTTTGTGGCTTTGTATCACCATACAGAACCCTGTTTCCTTACCCTCAGTAGTGAGATTTGTGCAAGATTTTGTATCTTAAGCGGTTTCCATCTGTAGCCACTAACCCAGTGTTTGATAACTTAGTAGGTGCTCAGTAAACATTTGCCATATGAACGGAGAGCCTCTTGGATTCCTAAAGAAAGAGGTGGGGTGAATGCAGCCTATTCCTGCTGGTGGGTTAGCCGGTCGGTGCATGGCGCTTAAAATGAAGTTCACGAAGCCTTTAAAATTTGTCACATGAAAACTGCCACTGAATGTGGGTTTTACCTGACAGATGCCAAGTAATTTAAGAGAAAAGTTGTATGTCTTCCCTACCACCACCACCACTATCAACGAAAGCACTAGTAACAGCCAGAGAGACCAGTCAGGACCTAGCAGACAAGGTAGTCAACATCCCAGTCCATTGAAGTGTATTACATTGACACATTTAATTTACACTCTCCATTTTGGTCACTTGTAAGTTCCTAAGCATCCCTTATGTAAGCAAAGAAATAGCAGAATGTCTAATAATTAGTAAGAAAAATTGGAATCAAGCCTGACTGAGGTTTGATTGGGTGAAAAAATTTAATATCCTGCAGAAATGTCTCATCTACCACTTTTTAGAGCTGTCTGGAAAGCCCCTGAAGCACTGAGGAAAGAAACAACATGTGTCTCAATTTATAATGTAAAAACATAAAGGTAGCCAGCCAACCAGCAAAAACAGTTTGGTATTAGTGTATGGGAAGTTGGGGCGTGGTGTTTTGTTTTTGGCACTTAATTTTGATGGCAAGTGGAGAATTATGGTTGCTACCCTTATTCATTGTGCCCATTATTGGCTTAAGTAAGAAGAATTATTTGTAGAATTAATCTTTTGGGTGATGGAACTTTTTTGTATCTGCTTATTGGTGGTTATAGGGAAGTATGTATACATGTGCTTTTTCATAGAACTGTACATCCTTTCCTTCAGAGAGTAAATTTTACTGTATGATAATTTTTAAAAATAAAATTTAAAGTTACATAAATTGCACATGCCAAGAACATGGATATTTTAATGCGCTATGTGCATGTCACCTTGTTCTTGCTGTTTCCTCCCCCTCCAGATTGGACACTTCCTCTTCTCCCTTTTCGGATGTTCCAGTATCTTCTGCAACATTATTATTTCAGCCTAGAGCTCTTTTGGTTTCTGGAACTAGCTGCCACACATGACCTGCACATGCCAAGCTAAGAGCTCTCCATGCTGGCATGAGGCCTTGGTGTGTCAAACAGGAGAGGTGCTATTTCACTTGGAGTGGCATTTATGTTTGTCACTGAACGGCCAGACTGTTGTTTCAGAGCTGAGTTTTTCTTAGCAGCTCACCTGGTAACATATCTTTCCTCCATTTTTTTTTTTTTTTTTAAATATGTTTTTATTGCTTTCAGAGACAGGAAGGAAAAGGGAGAGAGAGAAACATAAAATTATTGATTCGCTGCCTCCTGCATGCCCCCTACTGAGGATGGAGCTGGAAACCGGGGCATGTGTCCCAACCGCAATCGAATCATGACCTCCTGGTTCATAGGCTGAAGCTCAACCGCTGAGCCACGCTGGCGCGTCCTTTCCTCCATTTTTTATCCAACATGCAACACATAAAAGCCAGCCCTCTTAGTATGTTGTTTTCTACCAATGGCCACCTTTCCTCTTTGGTCTGATCTTCAGTTATCACTGGCCAGTGAAACACAGTTGAATCAGTCTCTATAAGGGCATTGATTGCTCAGTTGAATAAATCACTTAGTGGTCATGTATGCAAGGGGTTGTTGGTTTGAGCATGAAACTAATAAATCAAAGGATGGAGATTTGGGATTGAGGTGAGGGTTAGTTTACAATAGATTTTGCCCCAACTCTGATTAGCTTGTGTGGTCATAAGACAACATACTAAAAAGTGGGAAATACAGAGGAAACTCAGCTTATACCTCCCTGAAAAATTAGTCACCATTGTCCAGTCACATGCTGGGATGTACTGGCCCTCCTTTCCTCTTTGAGCCTAGCTACTGCACACCAAGGTTAAAGTTATAAGCTGAGTCTTACGCCTCCTACCAATGACACCTAAAGCAGTTGTCCTTCCTTTCACTAAGGAAGACATCATGTTTAGTCACCTTCAGAAAACGCGGCGTCGCAGGGGTGAGACACTGAGTCGTAGGCAGGGTTGTGTGGTTGCCCTTCGTTGGCATGGTGAGAGATGAGGTAGTGCTCTGACTGAGTAAGGAAGGCATTGACAATTACAGCTTTAGAACAACTTGGGGGAAAATTGCCCTGGTTTTGTGAGGACTGGTATTTTTCAAACAGTGTGTGCAGATGTGTCTAAAAATAAAAACAAATTGCAAACATGTCCTGCAAGTCCCATGGGCAGGATGCCACTGCCGGGAGGGCCCCGTTCTGGGAGCCCCGAGGCTCCCAGCCATTCCTGTAGACCCAGAGACCAGCGTGGGGGAGGGGAGGGAGAGGGGGGGGGGCATGGGAACATTCTTCTTGTCCTTAGGGAGAGCACTGACTTGATTTCACCCTTTCCAGTTTCTTTCATTTGAAACACAAGTTATACTACTAACCTTTTCAAAAGCTTTAAGTCATTTAATTTTGCAGTTTAAAAAGATAGTCCTTATTAAGATGCACTTTAAATATCTTTTTAAAAAAGGCTTTATAATAGATAACATTTACTGAGTGCTGTGTGCCAGGCACTTTCTCCCTTGTAGTTTTCACTAAAACTGTAGGTGAGGTAGTGTGATCAGCTCCATTTTACAGAAGAAAGAACCAAGGTTTGGGTGGCCTAGCAACTTGCCCAGTGTTAGGAACTAAACTGGGTGGAGCCAGGGTTTTAACCCAGTTCTGTCTGACCCTAAAGTTTAGCAGGGAATCCCATTTTCTGTGAGATCAGCAGCACTAAATCCCTACCATGGTGGTTCGAGGGCCCATGTGGCCAGTTGACTTGCTCCTGCGTCTGAACCCAGTCTCCAAATGGGTGCTCAGCAGGAAGGGATGGTCATGCCCTATCCAGTCCCAGCTCTTCTTGAAAGACTGGAATGAGACCATCAGTCCCGTGTGCACCCCACTACTTTCCGTCTCCTTGCTCTCTGCAGCATCCTCCATGTGTGACCCAGATTGCTTGACCCCCTGGTTCTCCATCTGCAACATAAGAGGGCTCTTGTGAGGACTGTGTGGGCTAACGTGAAACACTTAGACTGTGGGGCCAGCCCTACATGAATGTCAGCTGCTGTCCTCCTTTTCTCTTTCATTTTTAAAAATCAGTGTGACCTGCAGAGGAGAGGTGTCAGGAAGTCAGATCGTGTGGTGTGACAGTTGAGAAAGGATGAAATAAGGTTAGTTAGGTCTTAATAAATCTAAAACTTTTTAAATTGTTGAGAAGGTTTTATTAACACCTGTCAAATGGTTTGAGCCCATTCTCCCTGCTGTGCCTTTTGTACGTGGTTGTGCTACGTAACCACTGTCCTAATGATCTCCAGTTCCAGTGGCTCACATTCCCCAGACCTCCTTCAGGGGTGAGAGTTTGCTTCACTTTACGTCTGGAAACCTGACTTGGGACGCGAGGAGGACTTGCCCCTGCGTGGCCTGAGGTCAGGGATGCAGGGCAGGGGCCAGCTGTTCCCGGACCTGCACCTCAGCCCAGTGGCCAGTCCTATGTTCAGTGGACTTTTCTGATTTAGTGGGGCCGAATCCTGAGTCAGCCAGCTAGGATTTGAACCTCGGGCTTTCAGGAAGCCCAAGTACTTCCCCTTTTGGGGCCTGCCGTTTGTCCTGTGTGACACTGGCCAGCCACAAGCCTCTGGTGCCTCTGATTAGTGTCGTGCTGCTCTCACCAGAGGCCTGGTCTGGCTGATCGCTTAGGAGCAGCCAGTTCTCTTAAAAGAACTTAGTAGAGAGGCACCACAGATCAGTCCTGCCCTGCTGTGGGCAGCCCTAGAGGACGTTTTCCTTTGGGAACCTATGGGACATTTAGGGAAGAGACCAATGATCTTTTCCAAGGAATCGCCGTACCAGGTGTCCCCTGCTCACGTTGCTGTGGTCTTGCATCCAGCTTTTAACAAGCAGAGTTTCCCCCAAGTCAGATTCTTGAGTGACTCATTACCCACTTTTAACCAGTGGCCTCCCTACACTCCTTCCTTTTTCTGTGGCCCGGCTTCTCCTCAACTCCCCAGACCTCCTCGCCTTCCCTCTGTCCCTTCTGCTGCCTGCTGCTTCACCGTGGAGCCAGGGCCCTTGAGCAAGCCTCTGATTGCCCAGTTTGGTCCAGCTTTCAGGTGTCATGGAAGGAGGGAGTCAGAACATCTCTCAGGGTGCTTAAGCACAAGAGAAGCCCAAAGAAGGGACCACATGTAACAGTCGTCTGCCATCCAGAGTGCAAATACCCAGCAGGTTAGGCATCTGGGCTCCGTGACTCACCGGGGTGCACCCCAAGTTCATTCGTTTTCCCAGCAGCCTCACGCCCTCTAAATGATCTGACTCTCAGCACTCAGTTCAGACCCCTCATCCAGAAGACTTGGTCCGGGTTTATTTTTTCCCCCTCCTGTGAAATTTGCCTTATTTTGATAAATACTTCAAGT